CACAGTTACCTTTCTCTTTGACTGTGCCTTCAGCTCCCCTCTCGACTCTCTACCCCCCTCCTCGCTCCCTCCCTTCCCTCCCCTCACCCTGACCATTTCCCCCCAATGCTCGGGTCCCGACCCAACTGTACAGCGCCTTGGGACGTCCTCCCGACGTGAAAGGCGCTCTATAAATGGAATCTTGTTGTTGTTGTTGTTGTACCTTCATAAAATAGCACAAGTTGTTTCTTGGGTGGTTATATCGCACTTGATGTGTGCAATCCTGGGACGTGCCCACGCTGCTTGTTGCTGGTTTGCTCAGCTGTAAGTGTGACGAACAAGTTGATTTAACGGGCGTTGTACCAGTCAGTCGTTCCAGATGTCCTAAAAATCTTAATAAAGGTTTCGATGCCTCCCATTAACGTGGACATATTACTCCCAGAGAATTCCGCTCTCAAACACCCCCTGCCATGAAAACACTGACATGTGCCGAACGTGTTGCGTGGATTTTTTTTTTTTTTGGGGGGGGCGACCAGTTCATTCACGGCTGTAATTAATTATTGATTCATCGATTCATGGATTCATTTAAAAATTGCAATCTTTCTGTTCCTTTGGCTTAACTTTCGTAAGTGCACACTTTCCCTTTGCATGACTCTGCTGTTTCTAAATGAGGCGTCTATCAGACGCTGGTGCACAGACTAATTCCTGCTCTAATAATCGTGCTGTTTCTCCAGTTTGTGCAGCGCTGAGATTTCTGATTATCGGCTGATTTATCACACTGCAAGCCTCGCATCTGTGCATAAGCCAGTGTGAAGGCAAACTGAAGGACAGGCTTGAATGTACATTAGTGCACAAAGAGATCTTCCAGATCATCCATCAGTCAAGGTGATCGCAAAGGTCCCAGATTTTTATTTATAACCTCAGCTAATTCCGATGGAAGCCTATTAACCGGAAACATTTCTCTGAAAGCAGAGACTTTCTCGGGCGCCGGTTAATTGCCAGAACTTTCCATAGTGTTTTTTTTTAAACGCGACACACACTGGGATGCAGGAAGTACCTTCCTTTCACATCTCTGTGTGTGTATAATCTCTCCATTGCCTCCCAGTGGATCAGGAGGTAGGACACTGGCTTCAGAATGGCTTCATTACTGTAGAATTATTCGCCGCTTCCGAGCAACAGTGGAGTGCCTCAGTTTGCAGATAAACTGTAGATTAAATATATATTAATAATAATAATAATAATTCTCGCATTTGATATCACGCCTTATCACATCTTCAGGATGTCTCAAAGCGCTTCGCAGAATACACTGCAAAGTGTGTAGTGACTGTGAGTTTCGCAGGCGAAATGCAGCAGCCAATCTGATCTCAGATGCTTCATTCACACCAAAAGGTAAATGAGATTTTCAGTTTACTCTATTGACTCAGCGTCGAAAATAACCTAACAGCAGAAAAACAAATTTACCTTTCGTTGTGAATGTTGTGAGTTCAAAGTCAGGACTTTGATCTCACAGTCCAGACTGACACTCCAGTCTCACATTGGGGGAGCGATCCACTGACAGAGGTGGTTGTCCTTCCGATGATAATGTCAAACTGAGTTCCTGTCTGCGTGTTGAGACGATCATTAGTAATCCCACGGTACAATTCGAAAAGACAAGCGAGTTTCTTCCAGGGTCCTGTCCGACGATATCCTGGATGAAACTGGCCGTTCACTTCATGGCGGTTTGTGCACAAACATTGCCGTGCGCAAACCAGCTGCCTACAGATGCACAGTCACTACACTTTACGGTAATTCCTGTTGAGCACATTGAGGTGGCTCAGCAACGTGAAAAAAAAGTGCTATGTCAAACGCACGGACTTCTATTACGTGTCAAAACTCCAGTTCCCCATATTTTGAATTGAATGGACGACTAGTTTCAGGGCATTATTTGATATATGCTCTGTGTGGTTGTGACAGACAGACAACTGGTACAAGAATTTAATTGCAAACAAGCTCGGAACCACAGAAGCAGAAGGTGAGTGTGGGGGGGGGGAGCAGGCTGTGTTTGAGGGCAAGCTGTCTGTGAGGCGTTCTAAACTGTGACTTTCTAAAATTGTGTTCCAACAGCGGCAACGTTTCCTGAAACACTAAACATTTTTGTTTTAAAATTTCGAATGGATTATTAACACCCCGGGAAAGCACTCCGCCAGTCGACTAACAACTGCGTTCCTATTTACTGCTGGGTAATCGGATGCGTGTAGAGGAAGGAAGGAAACTTATTATTTCCCTTATTAGAGGGGCAGACTCTGACATTGCTACAGAAGACGTTGACAGGAGCCAAGGAGTGAGGCTTCCATCTTGCCGATATTTATTATTATTATTATTATTATTTAGCTGCAAGGAGTTTCTGTTTATCCAGGCCCTGATGTCTGCCAGACAATAATCTCACAGAACATCAGCAATCCTGGTGTCACAGCTGGAGGAGGAGAAGTAGATTTGGGCTTTTATCCGCAAACACACCGATAAATAATAATTTGGCGGTTTTAATTCATTTTTTTTTGTGGTTTGACCGTTATTTGCTTAACTGTCTGCGCTCCGGATTGCATTTTCCTTATGGTTAAGCAATTCATGTGGTGGAATTAAAGGACTATAATTGGAAAATGTTACCAGTTTAATAGATTATGGATATTTCATCCCAAGAAGGAAGAGATTTACATCGATTTACAGAGACTGAATAGCATAGAAAAAAAGACCATTGGAGCTAATCAGTCCGAGCTGGTACTTATACTCCACACGAGTCTCTACCTTCTCCTTACCCCCTCCCATAGTCTTGTATTCTCGCCTCCCTCGTGTATGTATCTATCTTCCTCTTAAATGCCCCAGATTATATCCTGTATTTTTATTATGGTCCATTTCAGGGAGAAAGTGGGAGAAAGTGCAGTGACAACTTGGGACATCTGTTGGACCAAACGAGGCTGGAACCAATCCTTTGCTGCTCTCTGAAATTAGCTCTCTTCCAGTTGGGTGTTTCAGGTGCAATAAATTACTGTTAAAAGCAGTCAATTACACTGTGTTACATTTACACTGATCTTTTGCTGTGAAATCTCAGATGAGTCAATAAAGTGAGTCAATAAAATACATCGTAGGGACTGTTGCCCACTCCCACATTACTGATCCAAGTGAGCACAGATGTTTTCCCCACGTGCCTTTGTGTCATAAAATCCACGCACTTTTTTTTAAATAAAAATATACTCATCCAAACACCTTACAAACGCCCCAAAGATTTTTTTTTAAAAAAATAAACACATATTTGCTTTCTTTTGGAGAAATAAACTGCGCAATTTTTTTCCCCCCAAAAAAGCTGCACTGCTTTAATAAAATGAATTGACTGTTATGTTTTGTGGGCAAAACTGTGTATTATCTACTTTTTTTTGGGGGGGGGGTGTGGGGTGGGGGGGGGTTGTGGTTGGGGGGGGGTTGGGGGTTGGGGGGTGTGGGGTGGGGGGGTTGGGGGTGGGGGGTGGGGGGGATACGAAAATTGCTGAGAAAACCTTCCTGAGGAGGAGGAGGAGGATTTACTGTAATGTGCTGATGTTCACCTTTCATGTCTCCTCGAGGCTGGTCAGGCAAACCAGGGCAGGGAAGGCAGACAGGGCAGGGAAGGCAGGGAAGGGAAGACAGGGCAAGGGAAGGCAAGACAGGGCAAGGGAAGGCAAGACAGGGCAAGGGAAGGCAAGATAGGGCAAGGGAAGGCAAGATAGGGCAAGGGAAGGCAAGACAGGGCAAGGGAAGGCAAGACAGGGCAAGGGAAGGCAAGACAGGGCAAGGGAAGGCAAGATAGGGCAAGGGAAGGCAAGATAGGGCAAGGGAAGGCAAGACAGGGCAAGGGAAGGCAAGACAGGGCAAGGGAAGGCAAGTTAGGGCAAGGGAAGGCAAGATAGGGCAAGGGAAGGCAAGACAGGGCAAGGGAAGGCAAGACAGGGCAAGGGAAGGCAAGACAGGGCAAGGGAAGGCAAGACAGGGCAAGGGAAGGCAAGTTAGGGCAAGGGAAGGCAAGATAGGGCAAGGGAAGGCAAGATAGGGCAAGGGAAGGCAAGACAGGGCAAGGGAAGGCAAGATAGGGCAAGGGAAGGCAGACAGGGCAAGGGAAGGCAAGGCACTGCAGGGAAGGGAAAGCAGGGAAGGCAGGCAGGGCAAGGGAAGGCAAGACAGGGCAAGGGAAGGCAGACAGGGCAAGGGAAGGCAGACAGGGCAAGGGAAGGCAAGGCACTGCAGGGAAGGGAAAGCAGGGAAGGCAGGCAGGGCAAGGGAAGGTAAGACAGGGCAAGGCACTGCAGGGAAAGTAGGGAAGGCAGGCAGGGCAGGCAAGGGGCAGGGCAGGCCAAGGGAAGGCAGGGCAAGGGAAGGCAGGGCAGGGCATCAGCAGAAGGCAGCAGTACCCTCCCCATCTCCTCGCCATTGCGCATGATACTGCGGTGCTCAGCCTCTGCGCCTCAACCCACCTTGGAAAGGGGGCGGGGCTGGGAGGGGGGCGGGGCGGGCGGGGCTGACGGGCGGCGGCGGCCACCAATCAGCGCCGGGCTTTGCCGCGGATCGGCCAATGGCGGGCGGGGGGGGGGGCGGGGCGACCGTCAAGTTGGGTTGCGCGCGGGGGGGGGCGGTGCGGTGTGTGGAGGGTTCGTGGTGGTGAGAGGCATCTTCGGGAAAAAAGAGAGCAGAGAGAGGCTGTGCTGCGGGGGGGGGGGGGAGGGGGGGGGGAGGGAGGGGAGGGAGTGAGACAGAGAGGGAGGGAGGGAGTGAGACAGAGAGGGAGGGAGGGAGTGAGACAGAGAGGGAGGGAGGGAGGGAGGGAGAGAGGGAGGGAGTGAGTAAGTGGATGAGTGACTAAGGCTTAAGCTGCGGGAATGTAATCGAATAAGAGGGAGAAGGAGAGAGAGAGAAGGAGAGAGAAGGAGAAGTGGAGAGAGAGAGAGAGGAGGAGAAGTGAAGGAGAGATAGAGAGAAGGAGAGAGAGAGGAGGAGGAGAGGAGGAGAGGAAGGAAGGAGGGAGGGAGGGAGGGGAGGGTGAGAGAGTAAGGATGCAACCAGGTCTACATTGAAGGGGACATGACCCCAGAGGATGGCCTCGAGCTGATGGTCAGATAAAGAAGGAAAGGAAAGGAAGAGGGAAAGAAAGAAAGGAAAAGAAAAAAGAAGGGAAGATGTTTGATTGGTGCCGTGAAACACCTCCAAGAGTGAGGAGCTGTTGAGCGATGTCCCACTCAGAGCTCACAGTGGGGTGACTGTACTATGATTTGGTATGTGGCCACTCTGTTAGCCAGTGTGGTCAGCACCAGAGGAGCAGCAGCTCAAGGTGAGTTGAAGTTCATCACCTCCCCACCCCCCCACCCCCCCCACACCCCTCCACCCCACACCCCCACCCCTCCCCACACCCCTCCACCCCACACCCCAACCCCACCTCCTCCTCGGCTTCCCAACTCCATCCTCCCACCCACCAGATCCCACCTCCCAGTCCCCTTCTCCCAACTCCCCCCACTCCACCCTCCAGCTCCCAACTACTGTATTCCCAATTCCCACCCCTACAGATCCCACTCCCCCCCCAACTCCCATCCCAGTCCCCAGCTCCCAACCCCCAGGTCCCATCTCCCAACCCCCAGGTCCCAGCTCCCAACCCCCAGGTCCCATCTCCCAACCCCCAGGTCCCATCTCCCAACCCCCAGGTCCCATCTCCCAACCCCCAGGTCCCAGCTCCCAACCCCCAGGTCCCATCTCCCAACCCCCAGGTCCCATCTCCCAGCTCGGGCTGATCCTAGGGGTGGGGGTGGGGGGGAATTGAAATTGATGGGTGTCCTCTGCCCCGGTGGGAATAGTGCCAGGAGGCTTTCCTTTATGTATATGTGTGTGTGTGTGTGTGTATATATATATATATATTTTCGTGGGTTTATTCGACTGACTTGTCTGTGGGTATCGCTTTCTCCTGTTATTTGGGTTTCTGATCAAAGTGATTGACTTGTGTTTGAAGGTTAAACCGAAAGGGGAAAAAAAAAACTTTGGGGTTTTTAATTTTTGTGTCAAAGTTGCACGGATTTCCCATACGTTAATAATTAAATGGCAACGGTGGGGGGAAGGGGTGGGGGGTGGGGGGGGGTGGGGGGGGGGGGGTGGGGGGATTGTGGTCCTCTGGAAAGTGACTGTGTTCTGGGAAACTGTTCCCAGTTTCAGCAACTTTGTGATGTGCTGTGTGCTGTTGTGTTGGTTGAGCTGTGGTTCTCTGTGTAAGTCAGGAATGACCCTGGAATGTGACTTACAGCGTTATGATGAGTATAAAATTATTCTCCTTCATCCCAAATGTTTAGTTTTGTATTATCATTTAAAATCGTTCGAAACGTATCACTTAAACGACATCCATTAGTTTTTTTTTGAGGGCTGTAAATTTTTTATGCTTTATATATATAATATATATAAAGGTGAAAAAATAATAACTTGCATCTTTTAAGGGGAAAGGATTCAGCCATTCAGCAAACTCATTTGATCTCAGGAGAGGCTGAGAGAAAGCATTCATTGCGCTGTTCTTTTTTTTCTATTGAACAAAAAGTGACAGTGGTACCAGTTTTTTTTTTAAATTAAAAAAAAGGTGAAATATTCAGCTGTGGGAAGTGCGAGAGCCACTAATGAACCAATTGATCAATAAAGGGCGTTCGGTTTATCACCGGTGAGATGTATTTTCAGTATTAAGGCGTGTGACCAACGTAGTGGTACCATTACGATACCCCCCAATAAGTCTTAAAAGAAACGATGATGTTTTTTTTTGGTGTTTTTTTTTAGATAACAATGTAGGTATAACACCAGGTATTTCGTAACCTTAGTGCCTGTGCGTTGTTGGAATAGATCTCTGGCATCAATCTCACAGTGACTGACCTCCTTAAATGAAGATGAGCAGTTGTTGGTACCCTGTGTGGTCCCCTCTTCCCCAAAGCCCACAGACTCTCCTCTCCCTCTCTTGTGTGTTTTTTTTACACACACACACACACTACGATGGGTTCGGGGCGAATGGCTGTAGTCATAGTTCCAGTTCTGGTTACAGAGCGATCACTGAATCATGTTCCAAAGCACTTGGGGGTTTCTCAAAGGAGGGGGAGAGGGGGGGAGGAGAGGGGGGGGAGAGGGAGAGGGGGAGAGGGGGGGGGGAGAGGTGGGAGGGGGAGAGGGGGGGAGAGGTGGGAGGGGGAGAGGGGGGGGAGGGGGGGAGAGTGGTTAAGGTTAGTTCTGGTCCTGTCGGTAGAAATCCCATCCAGTTCATGTGCTGATTTTGATGATGTTCTACTCTATGTGTGTGTGTGTGTGACTGTGTCTCTCTCTGTGTGTGTGTAGTGTCGGTGTGTGTGTGTGTGTGTAGTGTGTGTGTGTGTGTAGTGTCTGTGTTTGTGTCTGTGTGTGTGTAGTGTGTGTATCTGTGTGTGTAGTGTCTCTGTGTCTGTGTGTGTTAGTGTCTGTGTGTGTAGTGTCTGTGTATCTGTGTGTGTGTAGTGTCTGTGTGTGTAGTGTCTGTGTGTGTGTGTGTGTGTGGTGTCTGTGTGTCTGTCTGTGTGTGTGTAGTGTCTGTGTGTCTGTCTGTGTGTGTGTGTGTAGTGTCTGTGTGTCTGTCTGTGTGTGTGTAGTGTCTGTGTGTCTGTCTGTCTGTGTGTGTAGTGTCTGTCTGTGTGTGTAGTGTCTGTCTGTGTGTGTAGTGTCTGTGTGTGTGTCGCAGTTTCTTGCGTTGGTTGAAGCTTTATATTACGCACCGAATGAGCGGAGTGGGCAGTGTGTGTGTGTGTGTGTGTTTCCCTGCGATAGAATAACAGTCTGGTCGGTGGGTCCAAGACTGTGACATTATTATTAACCATCAAGTGGGGTGTGTGTGTGTGTGTGTGTGTGTGGGTGTGTGGGTGGGTGTGTGTGTGGGTATGTATGTGGGTGTGTGCAAAAAAAAACCCACAGCGACATTGCGGAATATTGCAACTGCATCTCTGCAGAGATCAGAGGGGGTTTTAAAGAGAGAGATTGATTGCCTTTTGGAAACCGAGTCATGTTGCTTTGCTATTTGTCTGGCTTTGGGGGGTGGGGGGGTGGGGGGGGGGGGGGGGGGTGGGGGGGAGAAGAGGACATCATTGTTTGCAGATGGATTTAGATTGTGTCTTACAGCTCTCACAGGTAAAAAAAAAGAAGAGGGGTCGCCTCCAATTGCCTGGAAATAAATGTCCAGTGATGTGGTGGTGGTGGTGTTGATGGGGGGGGGTTGCAAGGAATAATTTGATCCATTGCAAAGGGACACACACACACACACACTGCAGGGAGGGTAAGCTCAGTAGCCAATGGCGAGCCAATGGCAAGACCACGATGGCCACTGGGGGAAAAGTTCCTGCTTGGAAATTTTGCTGCATTACAACTTTCCCAGGATTTCATGGCAACGCTTTTCGTTTCTCTGCACATATTAACACGCAGCCTCAGGCGTAATGATGTCATCTCTGCACACACTCACACCACACTCACTCACACTCACAACCACACTCACTCACGCTCACACCCCCTCCTGTGCTCCCCCCGTAGATCTCGAGCAATTGGCGTGATTATCGAGAGCCGAGCGTCGCCACCTCAATCAGTTCACTTGCGGTGAATAATTGCGGAGTGAATTGAGAAGAGATGGCATTCTCTCACTCACTCTCACTCTCTCACTCACTCTCACTCACTCACTCACTCACTCAGGTTGCTGTGTCTTTTTTAATTGAATGATTCCAAGGTGTTGGTATTTGGACAGCGGCTGCGAACAGAAACTTCCGAAGAAAAAGTGTCGCTGATTGAAAAAAAAATGGTTATTTTCCAAGCGAACAGTGCTGTCGTCGCTCATGTTCTTAAAATCTGCGGGTTGGGGGGGGGGGGCGGATGAGGGGGGCAAACTGGTTTCGTGTATTATACAGAACAAAACTATACAAAGGGTTTGGAAGAAACACGGCAGCCAATTTTGCAACCTTTCTCAAGCAGGAAATCCCGATGCCCCTGACACAAGCTCACACGAATGGTCAGTCCAACCCGAAACTATTTATAGATGAGCGCTCCAATTATGTAAGGAATGAATGCCCACGTGAATTTTCTTGATTAATATGGAAAAACTGATCCCGCGATCGCAAAACTCAGCAGCAACATATTGATACATGGTGCTAAGTGTGTTTGTGTTGGGAGCTTGCCAATAAGTATAAACATATTCTGATGCTTTTCCCCCAATGGCTTAGGAGGCAAACACATTGCCCAGGGTGGTACTGAGTCACACAGGCAAGGAATGTGTTAGATTTGACCCATTGTCCACACTTAGTTTGTTCATCTTGTCCAGAGGAATAATGAGTTGATACCATTCACCCCAGTGTCCCTGGAAGAGAAGCAGTGCTTCCGATTTAGTGACCTATAGCGCCTTATCACATCTTCGAGACGTCTCAAAGCGCTTCACAGGATATACTGTAAAGCAAATTGACTGTATATTTTGTGGGCGAAACGCGGAGGCCAATTGCGCACAGCAGCGTCCCCACAAAGAGTCGTGGATTGAGTGACCAAATTATCATTATTTATTTTTGAAGGATTTATTACCGCCAGAAAAGCGATCCACCAATCGACTACCAACCGGGTTCCTACTTACTGCTAGGTAAGCAGAGATATGTTTGTGGAGTAAGGAAACTTGCCAAAGGTTTTTCCTCGCCCGCCCAGGAATCAAACTTTGGTCCTCTCGCTCGTGAGGCAAGCGCTCTATCCAAAACGCTACAGGACTCCACAATCATTGGGTGTGGTTCAATGGGTGGTCGCACCCTAATACCTTGCCAGTTTTCTGGAGCGGGAGTGCAGACATGGTCTCCACTTTGGGGAGATGGTGGCTATGAGTCCAAACCTGTCCTTGCTGTGTTTGCAGGGTAGCACAACAACAACAGCTTGCGGGGTAGCGTCCAGGAACGCTTGACAGTAGCGGAGGAGGGCGGAGGAGAGGTGACCGTAAGCACAATCAAAAAGGAAGGTCTTTGGATGAGTTTGAAAGTGGGGAGGGAGGGGTCGAGAGCAGAGGGGGTGTGAGTTTTAACTTAGGTGGTCATTGTAATGCATGAGCCATCAGGGGAGGGCTCCAAGATACTTTTTCTAAATAGTAATCACTTTGTGCGACAAAGTACCACATGCATTAAAGGAAATGGAAATGGCCAGGCTAAATCAATCTCGGTCGTATACTTGAACTGAAGACCATTTTTTTTCCGAGGCATTTAGTTACGAGTTCATTTGTAAATTGGTCTACTCTGTAGACCCGAGCTGACACGTCCTATAATTCAGCTGCTGTTAGAAGTA